AAAAAAAAAAAAAAAAATCCTCTACAGTTCTAGAAGAGCAAAGAAGCAAGCGTACCTTATACTTTGAGGCTCTGGCTTGTCTGGCCTGCTTCTGGTGAGCGAGATAATCTTGCTTTTAGCTAAGAGCAGAGGGTCCTCAGCCCCCAGGCAGAGCCCTCTCACTGCTTCTCCCCCAAGCTATAGATGAGGAAGCCTCCCCTGGTGCCTTGTTTCCCTAACCCGTGGCCCTGAGACTGGTAGATACTTAGACCTTGGACCAAGGAGGAGGATGGAGAAACAGGGGCAGAGCCAGGGAGGTACGTAGAGCCCGATTTAGGCCTGTACACAAAGGTTCCACTATGTGGATGGTCAGCGGCACCCAAATTGTATTTACTCAGCATGGCAACAGTGAGGGGGAAGTTCCATGCTGTCCAGACACAGGGGTTCCTCAGTTCTCAGAAGAAAGTCCCATAGAAACAGAAAATAAACACCAGAGGTGATTTTCTTCTGGCCTCGACAGTCACAGGAACCGCAGGAGAGGTTTCCAAGCTTGCTGGCAGAGCCAGGCTGGAACGGTGGCAGTGAGGGCTTGGTAAGCAGGATCTGGGCCCAGGAAGATGGAATGGGGTCAGGGGGACTGCAGTCTGTAAAGACGAGGGTCAACTAAAGCAGGACGCAAAGGAGGATGAGTCCAGAAAACAGATTTAAGATGTGGAAACTGGCCCCAAGAAGAAAGGACCAGCTGAGGTCAAAACAGTGACCAAGACCCGGAATGTGGATGCAGGCGAGAGAGGGGTGAGTTTAGGGTATCAATGACTCTGGGAGCAGGTGCCCAGGCCCTGACATCACAACTGGGTTGGATGGGGGGAAGGGAAAGAAAGCACCCTTCGAGGAGGACTTTCTGTGTTCCCGGCTCTATGTTCAACACTTAATGGACATCTTTGGAACAGAGAAAGAACTCTAAGTCCCAGAGAGGCTGGGGTTGGGGGTGAGTGCCCAGGAAATTTGGGGACTAGGCAGGGACATTGAAGTCATTCTCAGATCTAGGAACAATCAAGGTGGGAGCAAGACCTTACCAAACCAGCCTCAGGGCTGAGACAGAGAGAGAGAGAGAGAACACCTGCAGGCGAGCTGGAAGGAGACTCTCACCTGCCTGGGGCCAAGGTGGTGTGATGTTGAACCACTGGAGGAGGTCACTAGTGGTACCTGCTAGAATTGCAAGGCAGAAATCCAGGCAGAGCCTCAAACAGGCTGAGCCACAGTGCCTGTCCACGCCCAAAGCCATGCTTCTTCTGCTGTACCTGCGTAACCCAGCGGCTTATAATAGTTTCACTACTTATATATCGCTTTACAGTTTTCAAAGCACCTTCACAAATTAGGCTACTTAACTGATGTCCATGGCTGGATTATCAGGCGGTGGGAGTCAAGTGTTTCACAGATTATTCTGTCTGGCTTCTCCTGTGTGACTCCGGCTAAGCTGCTTGCCCTCTCTGGGCTTCAATGTGCCCAACTGAGAGGAGGCAACAATCAGTCATTCTTCTACAACATAGGATGAGAAGCATCTGGAGAGGTGCTGGTAGTGAGCAGATTTGCCAGGCTTCAGCAAGCTCTGGAGTCCATAGACATTCTAAAGAAAACCCATTCACTGGGCTCCAGGAAAACAAATTCAGACGTATTATAATCTTTCCTTCAACCCAGCTTTTAAGCCCTAAATGCTTCCAGAAGGCTTATCGTTCTCTGCACCTCGCCAAGCCTGGTTTTGAGACAGGGAAGTTAGGGAGGAGTTTCTGATTCCTGTATGGCTCTATTTTTATCTGGAATGTATCTTCCTGCACCGCCAGTGATTGGCGCCTTCGGGGCCGCGGGTAAAGTGCACTGTCAGCAGAACCCGAGCAGTATATAGCAACGGACAGAGAGACTGAGCTGTTATGGGGGCGGGAAGTTAGACAGATGGACAGACTGATGGGCCCAGCATGTTTGCCAAGAGCAGCTCAATTAATTAATCACGAGGACAAGATGTTCGCCTCTGACCACGCCCTGCGTGACACATGTAGGGCACTAATCAGAGCGGGCACTGGGTTCCCCACTCGCGCCAGCGCTGTTGGGGACTCTGGCATCTTGAAGAGAGGTGAATCCTTTTACATCTTTATGTGAAATCAGCATCTGATGTTTAGGCTGGAATGAGAATAAACTTGACTTACAGCAGGAAACAGTAAAGAGGGACCTGTCTTTTCCTCCAGAGCAGCCTGTTCGCAGATCTGAAGGTCCGTGGCCACTGCAGTTCTTTCCTATCTCTAAGCAAAGCCCCCTTCACAAAGCTTGGCCCCCACGTAACTTCACCCGAGGCGGTGGGGGGCGGCTGTGTGCGCCTCCCCTGCTCCAGGGGCAGCATCACGGTGTGACCAGCGACATTTCCTTTGGAGGGAGCACCCAAGTAAGAAAGCTTGGAGACACGTCTAGAGCAAAAAGGAGGGCCTAGGAAGTGTATGTGAGTGTGTGTGTGTGTGTGTGTGTGTGTGTGTGTGTGTGTGAGACAGAGAGAGAGTGTGTGTGTGTGTGAGACAGAGAGTGTGTGTGTGAGAAAGAGAAGAGTGTGTGTGAGTGTGTGTGTGAGAGAGAGAGAGAGAGAGAGAGAGAGAGTGTGTGTGTGTGTGTGTGTGTGTGTGTGTGTGTGTGTGTGGTGTACAGGGATGCAAGCTTGCAGCTGGAGCGGAGCATGCTTGCTCTTTGTAGGCCATGAGCCCCGTGGAAAGACAGAAATGGACTTTCTCGGGCAAACTGCTACCCAGATCCTCCCAGTTTCAGGCTAGACGTGGGCAGAGGGAGTTTGCAGTCTGTGTACGAAATGCCATCGTCATGGTCACCAAAAACCAAAGCTGAATGTCTCTGAGACTGGACATTTAAAAAACATTATTAAAACTGTGTGGTTCCATAGGCCACATGTAACAAGGCAGAAGTGAAGGGACCGTTTCCAGTGCTTACTGACTCACCGTATGAGTCTTGGTGACAAATGGCACATGGGAGTGAACAGTGGCCAGGGTGCATCTTGGCCTCTTCAGGGGGCCTAGAGGCACCTTGGGGGAGGGAAGGCCACAGGAAGCCAATGATTGCATTGGGGGTAGAGCAGGGGCATGGTAACCAGCTGGTCACCAGTTTGCAGAAAGCTCACAGCAAAAAGGAACAGAACAGTAAAAGGGGTGAGTCTCTCAGTGAGGACACTGTAGAGAACAGTAATACAATATGCAAATCCCTAGAACTGAAGTCATTGCAGGGTTCTTGGAAGGAAGGACCCCGTTGCCCGTAGTAACAATAACCCTTCTGTAGCTCTTTTATGTCCTAGGCCTTGTCCTCACACTTTAGATGTATAGTCAGTCATTTAACCCACAGAACAACCTTGTGAGTGATGTGCTACTGTTATCCCTGTCAAGGTACAGAAAGGTAAAATCATTTGCCCAAGGTCACTGAGCTAGGGAGATGGAGCAACTCAGCGGTCGAATCCAGATAGTCTGGTTCTCATTGCCGTGTTACTTGACTCTCATGTTATTTGAATATTTTCTGAACATTTCTATGCCCAAGGCACTCAATTAAGTAGGGGAAACAAGACACAGAAATACTTGTCAAAAGTTCAATCAAGGGGTTTCCCTGGTGGCACAGTGGTTAAGAATCCACCTGCCAATGCAGGGGACACGGGTTCGAGCCCTGGTCCGGGAAGATCCCACATGCCGCGGAGCAACTAAGCCCGTACGCCACAACTACTGAGCCTGCACACTAGAGCGACAACTACAGAGCCCGCGTGCCCTAGCGCCCGTGCTCTGCAACAAGAGAAGCCCGCGCACCGCAAAGAAGAGCAGCCCCCACTTGCCGCAACTAGAGAAAGCCCGCGCGCAGCAACGAAGACCCGACGCAGCCAAAATAAATAAAAGTTCAATCAAAGACGTTTGCTCATCCCATTAGATACACTTACAGGCCTCTCTCTCCTGTGCATTTTGCCAGCCTACAGTTTTCGAAGCTTCATGTGACAACAGGAAGACGCTGTCCCCAATAGAGCCCTCTCTGGGCTGGGCCTCCGTGGGACGAGGAACCCGGCCTTGTCCTGCCTCCCAGATCCCTGGGTGCCCTAACCTCCACCCCCAGGGCAACACCAAGTTTTATTCCTTTCCAGATCCCCAGAGCCACACCCAGGGCCAAGGACACTATAAACATTCGCTAAATGCAGCTGACTGAACGGGTTTTTTACATCTTTGAATGCAGGAGCCAATTGCAAAACGCTGTGAAAAGACCTCACTGTGGCAGCATCCCTGCTTGTGGCCACATAGCAAGCACCTTGTCTGGCACCCGGTGCTGATGCTCAGCAGTGCCAAGTGCATATTTGCTGGTTCACTTTGGCTTCCCCTTGGTTTGCCAGGAAAGGCCGGCAGAGACCAACGCCAGTGTGGATGACTCAGCGCCCCCCTCGGTGGCCCAGCTGGCCGGGCGATTCAGGGAGCAGGCGGCTGCTGCAAAGGTGAGTCAGGAGGCTTCAGAGCCCCTCTCCTGGGAGGGGGCTGGAGGAAGGGGAAGTCTGGGTCAGGCCCAGAGGAGAGGGAGGGAGGAGGCTTGGTAATTACCAAATTAGGAAGAGAAGCCAGAGAGGGGTCTCTCTGAATGTGAGGAATGTCGCCATGCTGCTGGGCCTGGGCAGGACCGTTCCCCACCAGAGTGAGGCTTACCCTGTGGCCAGGAGGACTGAGAGCTGAAAGCCCTGCTGTTAAGAGACAGGAGGTCTGGAACCCGGGGCTTGTCCACCTCAGTCGTCCACTGATAGAGACTTAGATCTTGCCCAGCTGTGCCAGGCCTGGACTGCTTCAGAATAAAGAAGTCCCCACACCAGGCTCCTCCCCGGAGCTTAGCAAGCTTAGGAATCCGGAACAAGGGTGGATTCCAGAAGGAGAATTGGGAAGAAAGAGAGGACGGAAAGGGAAGCACCTTCAGATAGGAAGCCAGGGATCAGGAAGGAAAGGGATCCGGTGACCAGTGGATTCTAGAATCCTGCTGGAGAGGACAGTGTCAAATGGGGCATTGCAGCATTGGAGAGATTTGGGCTAGATTTTCTTGAGTCCTACAGTCTGAGGAGCTCCTTAGAAGTGAAATGAGGGAAGGGAACCCCAGTGTGTCGGGAGGTTTATCATGGCCCCTTGGGACAAACGAGAGTGTAATTGTCATGCTTTTTTAGGTGCGTTGTTTTGCGTTTTTATTTTCCCATCTGAAAAATCGGTCCATAATTTCAGACGCGATAGGAATGTCCTAAAGGGTGAAGGAGATAGTATCGATCAAAGGTGCTGGCAGTGCTTAGAAGCTGGGTGTGGGTGTCATTGTGAGATGTTGCTTCAGGCAGGCCAGTGAATCACGAGTAAAAGGGGATGCTCTAGCAGGAAAGGACTGGGACAGTCTGAAAAGGACTAGAGAGCCTGAAAGTGAAAATGGGTAGACAGTTCACTAGAATGAATTTATAAAGTTAGTGGGCAGTCGCAAAGACATGCAATCCCTCCCTTCATTCTTTTCTCCACCAGACATCCCTAAACATTCCTAAAACCAGTTTCTACTTCCTTCCTCTTCCTCCCTGTTGCCTGATTAGCTCTCTCTCTTTTTCTCTCTGTGTGTCTGTCTGTCGCCCTCCCTCTAGACACCAGCCAGTAAACCAACAAGAAGGAAACCGCCCTGCTCCCTCTCTCTGTTCCCCCCCAGGGTAGAGCTGGGCCAGAATGGTGAAGAGGTAAGTGCTTCTGCTGCTGGGGGCTCAGAGGATGCTGGTTACGGATTTTCTTTCTCCTTTTTATAGGAAGAGGCACGCAATTCACAATTTTAGACTTGAAACCTGTGCAGGGAATTTCTCCATTTCAGATTCAGGGGTGAATGTCCTTAACGCTTCCTGAATCCTTTACTTTGAAAACGAGGTCCCTTCCTACCCCCTGTTACTGAACCTACTTTATGGTTTTCAAGGACAGGAGCACTATTTTTCAAGCCTGAGCATTTCCGCCAAGAGAATGGGTCCATAGAGTATTTTACCACACCAGATTCAGGAGTCGTGAAAGTCATGTTTGACTCCCCGGTCTGACTGATACGATCTTCCATGTGTGCAAGGCATCTGGAAAGAGGGCTGCACTCACGTAAAGCAGAACTGCAGTGTGAGAGAGGCGTGGGTTTCTGTGGTATCTTGAAAAGGCTGGCTATTGTTCTGGATCGCTGAAAGAGAACCAGAGCACACAGGAGGCCTCATTGCCCTCAGATACAAATAGCCAATGTTACCAACATAATAAAGGCTCTGGTATCATAGATCATAGCCACCAATGGATTCCCGGCCTGCATGTTCACCTGCCCTTATTTATCTAATTGTAGCTGTAAGAGCAACTTGTCCACAACCTCCCAGGAACCCAGGAAGCTTCACTGTGGTCGTGGTCCCAGCCAGAAATGGATTAGCATGTTCTCTTGTCCAGCCTGGGAGGCCAACACCAAAATAGAGCAAGCAAGCCAAAGACAGTCCAATTCCCACATCCCAACTGTGATACCTCTTTCCCCCGCTTCCTTTTTGGGGGCCAGCATCCTGACGACAGACACCGGATAGCCATGTGGACTTGGGCAAGGCCCTTGGTGTCTACATTTTCTCATTTATAAAGTGAAACATTTGGAGTCGGTCAATGGTTTTCAAACCTTTTTGTCAACCCAAGGCATATGAGCAGAAGCCCATCAGATAAAGCAGAAACTCAGAGCTGCTCTCAACCAAGTGGGAAGGGGGTGGGGCCCCCCATATGCTCTGAGAATACTCCCCCCCAAAACTGGACACGGGTCTTCTGGGATGAGAATGCCCCAAGAAGCCCAGTTTAAAAAACACTACGTTTTTCTTGGGGTCTCCTCAGGTGCTGATATCACGATTCTGACCCCATCTTTGTGGGGTCATCAGCCAGCATTCCGACCAAAGCCATACCAACAACTTCTCTTTACCGAGGGTGAACTTCTCCTGTGACCTTCACCCTCAGGGCTTGGAGCCTGTGTTAGGCAATAGGCTGAGGCTGTGGCCACTAGGTGCCTACCGTGAGGCTGCCCCCTGATGACCTGGACTCAGCCCCAGAGAAGTCACTGCGCCGCGCCTGCTTCCTTTTTTGTAAAATAGGACAAGAACACTAACCAGACATGATGGGGGCCGGAGGGAGTTCAGTGGCTCTGGGAGAAATACGTTTACATGTTCCATCCAATGGGGCACCACCAGCAGCTAAATGGCATGTAATAGCCAAGGGCTGGATGAATGGGAGGGTGGATTTAAGAGGGAAGGTCCCGCGTGGAGTGACAGGCTGCCTGCACGTGGGAAGGACATTGCTTCCAGAGATCAGTGACTTTTTGTCACGAGCTTGAAATTCACATAAAAATAAAACGAGCAGCCAGCTCTGTCTGTCTGGTTAGAAAATTGTGGAGGCTGCTGCTACAGTTCTCCTTCTGGACTCCCATGGCACAGCCTGCAGGAGCCCTAGTGCCAGGAGCCTTGGCGGCCTGGGAAGGCCCCAGTCAGGCTACCCCTCGGTTCCCAATGCACAGTGCCGGAGAGGGTCTTCCCATCCCTTCTTCATCCCTGCCCCCTCCCTATGCCTGCACAGGCCTGAGACGGTGGAGCCAGCCCCTGCTGACAGGGTATCCTGGAGTTGCCCCTCTCTGTAGGACCCACCCAAAAGAGTGTTTAATATGGCCACTGAGCCTGCCTTGCCTGCTCACAGAAGGGCTGGAAAACAGTTCCATCTGAAAAATCTGGTCATTATTCTAGACATTATAGGAATGTCACTCTATGGACATATATACATACATAAAGAGAGATGTCAGGCTGACTTTTCTCTACCAACTGTATGAGCAGCGGCCACTTGTTAAAACAGTAAAGAGCTGCTTGTTAAACAGTAAAGGAAATACTGCCACCTTCAGCCGTTCCCAGGAATGGCATTGGCGGCTCTTTTGGATTCTTCCTGCTTCGCAGTTCAATTCGAATCAACAAGGATTTTGTAAGGCATGAGCTGAGTTCCCAGCACTGTCCTATGATGAAGGGGCTGTGTTTATTGAATTTTCACTCTCTTCAGAAGATACTAGTCAGTTGCAGAAGAGAATAAAGTATTACATAAAGTGAGCTTTGTCAGCACAATTGTTGCTGCAGTTCCTAAACAGTATCTTCAGAAACACGGCCTCATATGAACTTTCACTGTAAAGCCCAGAAATTAAGGACAACTGAGTTTGGGCTGGAAGCTCTTTGTTCTCACGGTGGACACAAGGCTCCTTGAAAGACTGACTGCTCTGGAAATATGTCTGATGGTGTAAACTCATGGAGCCAGAGGCACCTGAGAGCTGGAGGAGGCCTTAGAATCGTTTATTCCAACCCACCCACCTGCCTGGGTCTCGGCCTGGGAGGCTGAGGCCGGGGCAGCCATCTGGCTCCTGTCAAAGCCGGAGTTAGCAGGGGCTGGGGAAGGGAGCTCCTGAGTCCCAGCCAGTGGCTGCCCCACGCTCCAGCACCTCCCCTACCGCAATGCTCGGCCTTAAAAAGGTCACAGGGAGTTCAGTTGAGTGAGTGTGTCTCCTTCCATCACTAAAATACAATCATCTCACTCAATAACTATCTCAGAATATTTATAAGAAATTGTGTTATTCTTATGATGATTCAAGTAAATTAGTACGTGGATACAAGGAGCAGGGTCCCCAAACTATAGGAAAATCTGCTCTGGTCTCTGTCTGACAGCATGAAAGTCATCTTTTTCTTCAACATCATCATCATCATCATCATCATCATCACTGTCATCATTCCTACCTGTTGAGGATCAATATAGCTGTGGAACTGGAATCAAGTTGTAGGGATTTTACACAAAACAGGAAGGAGTCCTTCTTTTTAGATAATATAAAATCCAAAGACAGGCAAGATTCCTGACAATACACTCATCACAAAAATATCCCAACTAACAGAACATATATATGGGGTGTGTGTGTGTGTATATATATATATATACACACACAAGATATCTCAGACATTGACCACTTTCAGAGGGCAGGTGCTCAATCATATTCATTTTTATGTAACCGACACAATGCCTGGAATGTAGGAGATACTCAGTAAATGTCTGTTTAATCAAAATGAATAGTCAGTGTTTTAGAATATGATTATTTATAAACAACACTATTGGTGGGGTTTTCCAAAATATTATTAGTTTAAGGGAGGAACTTCAAGTATACCTCTGTCAGGTTTCACTCCGGCTCTGTGGTTTCTTATGTTTATGACAAACAGAATGGATGGTCACTGTGCCCTTTCTCTTTGAAATCCCCTCCAATTGTTGGCTCACGTTGTTGAAGGTCATGAGGTGAAGATCTTGTCCCCCTCAGACATAGTCTGTTCTCTCATAATGACCATGAAGGCATTCTTCCTGGAACAGGAGGTCTGCTGTGTTTCAGACGTCCTGCCTGCTCTGATCCATAGATTCAAGTGGTCTTGTTAGTGGTAGGGTGAGGGAGAGGGGAAGGGGAGTCTGCCACGCCCAGGACCTCAGGAGGTAAGTGAGCTCCCGAAGCTAAGTGATGAGGTGGTAAAACCAACTTTTTCTTCTCCTCTTATTCCAACTGTGGCTTCTGGGCTCCAGCCAGAACCCCACCTCCCTTCACCTCACTCATTTGCTTGTTTTGGTCCATTTGCTTTTATAGAAGTCACCGCCCAGTGCAAGCCACCCTCCTAAAGTCAAGGTGAAGAGCTCGCCTCTGATAGAGAAGCTCCAGGTAAGTTCAGAATCGATGCTACCTCCTATCCAACCCCCTCTCTTATCCAACATTTGCATGTCTTTGGGGCTCCTAGGGTAGTGCCAGATGTCACCTGGACAGTTGACCTCTGATAACCAGCTAGTGATCAAATTGCCCTGAAGGATGAGGGGCTCTACCTGGGGGCAAAATGCTAAAATAAGGACCCTATCAAACATGAGCTCATGTCATTAGTACCTAATGGAGATTGAAGATAATCAGTTGCCTCAAGAGTCTTATGGGAAAGGATGTTATACACAGGAAACACTCCAGGAATAGCCAAGTCCTTTCCATGGCCTGAATGCAGCCACAAACCGTTTTAGCTTTACACAGGGCTGAAATTCAGGTGCTAGTCATTACACCACTACGGCCAGGTTCATTGTTTGGAAAGCATTCCATCCAACCTCACCACCTTATACATCCAGAGCCCTCACCACTGTGCGCACAGTGGGGCTGGCTTTCCCCACTGGAGTGTAAACGAAGTATATGACACTGCACTTGATCTCACAATCTTGCTGGGGAGACAAGGTTTTCACACATGATACAATAAAGGACATATAGGAGAGTAAATACCGGAGATCTAAATTGTGGGTAACTATCCGACTCCTACTGCTCTAGACCAGGACTTTTTTTTTTTTTTTTTCGCGGTACGCGGGCCCCTCACTGCTGTGGCCTCTCCCGTTGTGGAGCACAGACTCCGGACACGCAGGCTCAGCGGCCATGGCCCACGGGCCCAGCCGCCCCGCGGCATGTGGGATCTTCCCGGACCAGGGCACGAACCCGTGTCCCCTGCATCGGCAGGGGGACTCTCAACCACCGCGCCACCAGGGAAGCCCTAGACCAGGGCTTTTTACCTCGGCGTTATTTGAGCTGGTAAATTTTGTTGCAGGGACTGCCTTGTACACTGCAAGATGCTTTAGCAGCATTCTTGGTCCCTATCCACTAGATGCCAGCAGCACTCTTCAGTAAACTGTGACAAAGAAAAATGTCCCTGGACATTGCCAAATGTCTCCTGGAGACAGAATCATCCCCCTGCCCCCTACCCACGCTGAGAACCACTGCAGTAAAATTTTAGAGCCAGAAGACAGTCAAGTGGGCAGGAGTAATTAACAAATGCTTTAGGAAATACCTATTTCCTGAGTCAGTCCTTAAGAATAGTGGCTGGAAAGGAGGGAGGAAGGTACTCCTGGTGTGAGAACAGCATGAGCTAAAGCACAGAGGAGGGACGGGCATGATATATCTGGGTGGGGCTTGTAGAAGACGCTCCAGCTTGCACCGCAGTCTCTGTGCAGCCGCCAGGAGAACAACAAGGCTCTCCTGCACTGGATCCTCCCCTCTGGGTCCAGCTAATAAAATTGGCTCATCTACCTTGTTCTGAAGCCATTATTAGGGGTGTGTCAAGACAAGTAGCCACAGCCTCTGCAGTTCCCAGCTATGTGAGAGACCAGGGATTTGGCCCCCAGCCTTATTTGGGGTTAAGGGAAGCATCTCTGGTTTGGGTTATGAGCCTACCTCATGTGTGGGGGAGTCTCCCCTGAAGTTTAATTCATACTGAGAAGCCCTGATCCCACCCCAGCTGCAGGGAGGGAGTGGGCTGCCCATCGCTGTAGGAGGCTGCAGGGCTCCCATATACATACCAGGGATCTCTCAGAAGGGACCTCAGAACTCAGACATTCCCTCCTAGCAGCCATCCAAAGGGTGTAGCCGAGAACCCCTACCTCTGTCTCCCGGCAGCCTACCATAGACCTCATCTAAGTGCCAGAAGTTAGTTTGCAAATGCTGTGTACCCTGCAGTCTTGGTGTCATTCCCCTTTCTAGTCATTCATAAGCCTCTTTGGGAAACATCGCAACCTGAGAATGAGGGTTTAATCTCTAATGGTTTAATCTCATGAAGAATGTCAGCGACAGTATATAATTTGGCCAAATCCCATAGGAACCTTACTTTGTTGGAAATACGTGGGGAAAGAACTAAGAAGTGCATCATCAGCTTCATTTTTCTTCTAAGTATTCTATTGGATGAGTTAGGAACTATGATTTTTCTTCACTAGAATAGTCCATAGTTCAAAGTTCAAGTTTTCCCCTGGCTAGCAAGACCCATTTTATTTGCAAGCAGTCTTACAGAGGGAATGTCCCAGCTTGACCCTGAGAGGGCAGGAAGACCTCCTTTAATGCTCAGTTAATATCCCCTCTGCCATGAAGCCCCCTGAGCCATCCTAGCACATCTCCCACAGCCTCTGTGGTCCAAACCTGTCCCTTTGTACCTGCAACATGCTGCTTTTAGACACGGCGTGGGCTCACACTGTTGCTGTTTAACTTTTATATTTTTAATTGGACAATGACACAATCTTTTCTATATTATAAATTCTTTCTTAAAATCACAATTGAAATATTAACATCGTCTTAAACATGTGTAATGTTCTATACTGTGCAAGTCCTAAAGTACATGTCAGAGTTCTCCAAGGTGACAGAGCCTGAGCTGGCAGGAGGGTGGCACCGAGGGGAGTCTGGAGGGAAAGGGCGTGGGTCGGATAGTGGCAGGAGAGAGTAAGGGGACCAGATCATAAAAGACTCTAAAGGTCAGGCTCAGTCGATGGGACAAATAAAGACTCTGAGACACAGAAAGGCTACTGGACTTGCTGTAGGTCACACAGCTATTAAGTGAAAGAGGCAACATCTGGAGTTGGGTGTGTCTGCGTGGAGAGCATCATCTGCCCCTCAAGCCTGGTCCCTCCCCTTGGAGGCCTTGCTGCTGGCTCTCCTGCTCTGGAGGATGCAACTGCGCAATGATTTGGAAACGCAGAGGTCAGAGCAGGAGGAACAAGGGCCCCTAGGTGGCGCTAGAGGACCCAAGGCACTCACGTTCGGTCCCTCCGTAGACATCTGCACCACTACCTTCTCCGAGGCAGTCAGATAGATCTGGGACCACCGCCTCGTCCCCCACCAAACTCATGACTCCCTCAGGCCTCGGTTACCTTCGGGTAACCCCTCCCCTTTGCTTGCTCTCAGGGTTCATTTTGGTCTGGTTGCACCTGCACTGCGATGCTGCAAGTAGGGTCACACACTGGCATCTGCTCTGTTGGCTCCCCCCTGGAAAGGCGTGGTGGCCTGCTGTGTCCACCACCGTGGTCTACCGAGAGAGACCCTGTACTTGGAGACTGAGGGACAAACAGACGTGGCTTGAATCCCAGGGCAGATTCCTTAAACTCTTTGCTAATTTGTGCCATGAGAACAAAACGGAACATGTAGGGTGGTTGTAGAGAGGAAAACTGCACATGCCCAGCAAAGAGTAGGCATCCAGTAAGCGGTAACTGCTCTTGACTCTGATGAGAACGATGGTAAAGGGTGCTGACAGCATGAGATCCTGGTGCCTGCAGGTGCTGGCAGTTGCTATTCTGGCCTCTTTGTCTATAAATCGGGACTGTTCCAATGCATTTTTGCCGGATGAAATCAGTGCTTCCTGGGCATTATGGAATGCAGCCTGGGTTTGAAATTCCTCATCTTTTCTCTACAGGCCAATTTAGTCTTTGATCCAGCGGCCCTGCTGCCTGGGGCCTCACCCAAGAGTCCTGGACTCAAGGCCATGGTGTCACCATTTCACAGCCCGCCTTCTACCCCCAACAGCCCTGGCGTGTGGTCTCGGGCCAGCGAGCCAGAGGAGGTGCCCGTCAGCTTTGACCAGCCTCCTGAGGGCAGTCATCTGCCCTCTTACAATAAGGTAATATCTGGATCCTAAGTACTGTGGTGTGTCTGTGGAAATGCGGACACTGGGCAATCCTGAATCACCTCTACCCTGTTGTCCTGGAGAAAGGAGGACACTTCAGAGCTGTGGTAAGATGTGGTTTTTAACAAAGGAAATTTCTCCTCTTCCTGGCAAGTGATCCCTGAGCTAAGATCACCCTCTACCTAGCCTGCCTCTCTCATCCGCTCT